TGATTGAGAGCAAGCCCCAGGTTAATTAACCCAGCATTTAAAAAAAAAATCTGAAGAGATTAGTATAGGTTTGAGTGTGATTTTATAAAACTATATTGACGTACACCTTTGAGCTGGGGCCAGCTCATCCATTAGGCAGTTGAGAGTGAGACATTTGTCCTTCTTGCTTCTTGGGTCAAAAAGATGTTACCACAGATAAATGAGCACCAGGGTGATGAAGTGGTGGAAGAGCTGAGATACTCCAAACGTCTCAGCCTACAGCTCCCATCAGTCTTCGCCATCTGGCTATAACTTACCCATTGCAAGCCAAAGTATCTTGCAGGCCACAAGTTGTCTCCTGCAAAAACAGTTGGACTGGGACTTGGGTTTAATCCCCATTTAAACATGAAGCTGGGTAAGGAACTTGGGCTACTCTCTCCCAGTATGACTTACCTCAAAGGGTAGCTGTGAGAATAAAATGGGAGGAAGAATCACCCTGAACTACATGGAGAAAGAACAAGGTAAAAGTGGCAGCAACTAAGCGTATACAAATCAATGTTCCTTCAAGGTGCACTCCCTGGCCATTGCATAATTCCAGCCTTCAGACTCTTTCCCCATAAAAAACTGGGCAGCAAAGGGGATGTTGGCTTTTTCTGCTTCTTATGCATGGGATGAGAAAAGCTGTACCTGCTGATGTTCCCATAAGAAGCAGCCTTACATGAAAACAGGTGATGGCTCCATCCACCTCACAACTGGCTGGACGGTTGGCAACTATTCTTTAGGGTTTCAGCCAGGAGGGCTTTTTCCTGTAGATGCCAGGAACTGACTGCACCTGGAAAATTCTGCATGCAACGCATGTGCTGTACCAGTAAGCTACGGTGTGAATGGGCAGCTGGTTCCCCTCACTGCTGGCAGAACAGGATTCTCTGGAAGCAGGAGACTTCCCTGTAAGTTGGAAATGGCAAGCAGAAGCCAAGAGAATGCAGCTCCCTCTTCCACAGAGTCTGTCTTTTGTCTTTAGCACATGCTCACAAATTGGGTCCCCAAGGACCTTTCCATTTTTAATGCTCTAAGGCCTCTAGCTGTGTCAGGAAGTTGTGGTAGCGCCATTTATTTTTATTTGTTTATATTGCAACAGCATGCTGTCTCTCCAAACCCTTAGTTTGTAAGAGATGCTGTTCAGAATGGATGCCCTGCTCTGTACTCTGTACAGACTAGGTGCACAGTGGAGAAACCTACCTTGGTTCAGGAACTATCACCGAGCAGAAGAATATCGGTTGTGCAAACATTGCTGTGCATAGGGAAAAGGGATGCAGAAAGCCACTCAGTTCAATGGTGGTTTTCAACAATATGTTTCTAAATTGTAGTAGCGTGTGTATGTGTGTTGCAGTTTAATCACAAATAACCTAATGGTGTACATCCTATAAATCTTGCTGGGAGGGCCCATTCCTAAAGAGCATCCAGCTCTTCCCCAGTTAAGATGGTAAGGACATAAATCCTTTGGGGGTTCCCAACAGCTTTCAAACTCGGAAGCTAAGGGACATCCAGTCCAGAAGAGAAGGAGAAGTAGAGCCTATTTCTAGCTCCCTATTCCTCTTGCTCTAGATTTTCCATAGGTGACCATTTTTGGCTGTCTAGTGATAAGACCCAAGTGCTGACAGAGAAGAGATTGTATTCCAGCAATATGGTCTCCTTCCTCACCAAAACACCCCTTTTGGCCCCTTTCCAAGGTCACTTTTCTCATCTTCAAAAGAAACCAGCACCTTTCTTTCCATGGCTTTGAAGGGGTGAAGCTCTGATTCCCAGCTCGAGGTCAGAGTTCTGTCTCCTCCCTGGAGCTAGGAATCTGGAGAAAAATTCCTAAGACAATGACTAAGGGTCATTGGATCATTCTCTGGGTCCAATCCTATGCACATTTAGACAGAAGAAAGCCCTATACCAGTCCTGGGAGTTTTAAGACTGTTTTCTGACTAAACATGGATGGTGTGTTAGGCTTAAACTATAATCATATGCACATTTAAAAGTAAGTGCAGAACATTTCCAGACCTGAAAGTCCTGGACATGGGATGTTAATTTGAACCCCCTTCTCAAGAAGTGTTGTTTGTTAGCATGGAAGTCTTTCCCACTCCCATTGAAAGCCCAATGCAGTTGCCCCAATTGCTCTGTTCCCAGCTGAATAAACCCAACTGGAGTGGGACATAGTGCTGAGCATACAGAGGCCATGTGTTAGGCAGGAGACTGGATCAGGTGACCTTCAAGGTCCTTTCCAACACTATGATATTGCCATAGAGTTACAGTATGACCGCTAACAGAGTTACCTGTGAATGACTTCCACTGAACATAATCAGGGCTTCTTTCAAGGAAGGGTATGTCAGACTGAGTGGCACATATTGTATCCCTTGCTCTTCAGCCTGACTTCTAGTCTAGCTTGTAGATGTGTTAGCAGAAAGCCTCTTTTGTGGTAAGACATTGTTGGTGAGTTGAAAAAGGATGGTTTCTTTCTTTCTTTCTCTTTTTTGTGTATGGAGAAGTGGCAGGATGCTCAGAGGGGCTGGGCAAGTTCAAGACTTCATGAAAATTCATGAAAACCCCTGTTGAGCAAACAAATGAGAGGTGTGCATAGTGTCATTGATTTTATTTCTCTTTCTTGTGGCCTTCCTTCAAAGTGTTGGGGCAGATGCAATGCAGTGGATTAATCATCCGGTTGTGACCACAGAAACCAAATTCAAATCACTTCTGTATTATGAAGCTCACCAGGCACCCTTCAAACTAATTTCTCTCAGCTGAACTTACCTTACAGGGCTGTTGTGAAGTTAAAATTAAGAATGGGAAAAGAAGAGCTACATAGGTTGTCCTGAGCTCCTTGAAAGGCCAGGATATACGTGCCGTCAGTACAGGAACACACTCACTCTCACACACAACACCCTGAGTGATGTACAATCCAGATTTCAAAAACCAAATGTGAACAAGGTGCATGGTACTGGAATGCTGCGGTCCCAAGTTGAAATTTGAAAGCAAATTGTGTGTGCTTGTGCTTGTGTTAAGCAAGAACTTTGGTTTCTGTTTCTAGTCCCTTGTGTTAAGTTTCTCCAATGACCCCTTCTGCTTTCTGCAAAATGAGGGCAGGGCAGACACTTGGACCATTTGATTTGTCGATGTAAAAAGTCTCTAGCTGTTTCTATTCTAGCTGAGGCAGAAAGTCTCTAATAGGATTAGGGCACGATTCTTTGGTATGTTTAGATGTGTGTGGGGGGTGGGGGGAGGAGAGGGGTATGTTTAGTACTAGAACTCCCAGCATTCACAGCCTGCATGGCTGCCTAGGGAATGCTGGGAGCTGTAAGACTTTTTCTCCCATCGAGACATGCGTAGGGTTGCACCCTTAAGCATCCTCCAATTTGCACCCAGGCAGGTGGAGACGGTGACGCACGCCAAGCCAGCCCTCCCCACGCCGCTCCTTCGACTTGCTCCGAATCGCCTGAAGCGGAGCTTGCATCTTGCTTTCCAAATTGGGGGGGGGGGGGGCGCAGAGAGGCAGAAAAAGAGCCCGACCAACAACCTTAGCCAATCCCAACAGTGGCTCACTTGTTCTCCGCGCTTCCTATCCTGCTGACAAGATGCTGACTGGGGTGGTGCTGCCGAATGCCCCGGCGCGGCGTGGCTGTCGCTGCAGCGGCAGGGGGACGGCAGCGCGGTCGTGCGGGGACCGCTCGGCCCTGCCGGGGTTCCCCGCCGCCGCCGCCGGTCCGCAGGGCTGCCCACGCCGGGCTCAGCCCGCCGCGCTGGCGCTGGCAGGGTTAAGACGGAAAGTCCCCCTGGCGCTCCGGCGCGTCCTTCGCTCTGCTGAGACGAATGGGCGAAGCCCGCCGCCGCCGCCGCCGAGTGTGCCTGTGCCTGTGCCGGGGACCCAAATCGCTGGTCAGTGATGGAGTCGCTGCCATGACAACCCCGGGAAGTCGGCGTGCGCGCGCGAGCGGGATGCTCCTGGCAAAGAGGAGATGCTCCTGGCAAGGAGCAAGCGCCGAGCGGGGATGCTGAAGCGGGCAGCCGCGGCGGGCGCGGAGGAGGAGGAGGAGGAAGCTGCGGCGGCGGCGGCGGCGGCCGCCCTCGCCTTCGCCTTCTGCCCGCTAGTCCCGCTGGCCAGCGTGCCCTGAGCTGGAGACCACCGGCCACCGCGTCCGACGCTGCGTTTTCGCCGCATCTCGAGCTCGGGCCAGCAGGAACCAAAGACAGACAGACAGACAGAAAAAGAAAGGGGAAAGAGCAGAGGGAGGAAAAAGAGGAAAAGAGAAAAGCGGGGGGAAAGAAGAAAGGGGTACAGCCCGTACTTTGTAGAGCCACAGCCGGGCGTTGGGGGCGGGCTGGCCCCCCGCTCTGGCCGCTCGTCCCCCTCATTTACTTTCACTGGATTGGAGCTCCTGACGGGAAGTTTTTGGTGACATCGAGTGCTTGCCCGTGTGCGCAGGTTCCCCTTCAAACAAATCAACAAGCCACCGCCACCAGTATGATTATCCTTTGGGCAGAGGCTGCCTGAAGGGCCCTCCGCTTGCTCTCCCTATTTTGGGTCCATCTCTGCCCCCCCTCCTCTCTCTCCTCCCCTTCTATTTCCTGCCAGAGAGAGTTGCGTTTCCTCCTTCTTGGGTTATAAACTTTTGATGCCAGATCTGCGCAGCGCGTGCCCAGCGGAATCTTAAAGTGGCATCTGGAAAACAAACGGAGGAGGAGGAGAAGATCCGTGACCTTCCTCGCTCGCTTCCCTGCGCTCAACACCTTTCTTTTCCGTCCTCCCCTTCCCTCCTGCGCCCGGCACCCAAGAATTACTGGGGAGTACTTTCCAATGCCGTTCGGCAGCCTTGCATTTCCAGAGCTGGATTTTCTCTGGGGACTCTGCTAATCCGTTAGTCAATCGTTCCCGTCCCCCGTTCTCATCAACAAACACGGTGCATCCCCCCTCAGCCACCCACCTCCATCTCCACCACCATTTCGTGCTTTTTTTTCCTTGTGGATCGTCCCTGCAGCCCAGGATGGGGGTCGGTGGGTGCTTAGTCCTGCCCTGGCGGTGCCTAGTCGTCCTGTGTCTTAGGGTGCTGTTCCTTGTGCCCGCAGGAGTGCCGGTGCGCAGCGGAGATGCCACCTTCCCCAAGGCTATGGACAACGTGACCGTCAAGCAAGGGGAGAGCGCCACCCTCAGGTAGGAGCAGATGTGTCTCTGGTGTCTTCTTGCACAAGGGCAGCAACTGCCTCTTCGGGTGGGCTTGGATGGATGCCTGGGGCTTGGGAGGAGTGGTGGGAAGTGCACTGGGGATGCCATGGGAGGTGATGGTGCATGGTGGTAGGGAGATGATTGCTTTAAGTTGGCCGTGTCTCCTGCAAAGCTCGCTGTGTTGCGATGCCTCGACTGTGGGTGCTCGGCACGTATGGATTCAGAGAGCTTGCTTTGTCCGTGAGCTGGGGGCATCTCAGTCAGCTGGGAAGGATGTGAAAAGAGGTTGCTGATGTGACACAGGGAAAGAACCTTTCCGAGGCTGGCTGGCATTGCTCAGAATGCTGAGAGAGCCGCAGAGGATTTTTATGGACTGGCACATTGCATCTGCTTTCGCTTGCAGTGGAATGTGGATTGTTGGCAATGGGGTGTCGATGGAAGGGGAAGACGTTTTCTCTTTAGGACTTGGGTACCAGGCGCATTGGCAATCAGGCTTGTGTTGGTGCCAGGGGATGGGCTTGTAGGTGCCAGACAGTTTGGTAGTGGGGTTGAAGTGACAGACAGGGCGAGCCTTGTGCTTCTTTTGCCTTGAAAATGGTTTAGAGGAAGGTATAGGTGGAGCAAGAGACTATGTGGCTTGCATCTCTGGGGTGGGGGGTAGGGTGGAGGTCTGCATCACATGCCACTCCCCCCCCCCACCCACAGCTGCTTGTCGTTTGAGTTGGTTTCCAGGGCTATGATGTCTCCCAGATATCTGTGACTTTTCGTGTGCACCCTGATTGGTTTATATTCTCTGCACGAATCTGTTAATATCAAATCAATCTTTTACTCCTGGGGTACCTCTTTCGAATTCTGATGGACTGTCTCCCTCCACTCCCCCCTTTCATTTTATCTTGTGCTGTTTTGCTGTGAGAGAAATGCAGGTGGCTTAGATACAGATGGGCCACTTCCCTGCCAGACGGTCCAGCCAATCTTCTCTTTTCATCTCCTGAAAGAAACAGGCACAGGAAGCATGACCTGAGCCTGCACAGGAGGTGAGATGTCAGATGTCTGAATCATAGCAGTGGGTCTGGCAGGTTGGAGTGGATGATGGACTCAGCTCCCTACTTTATCTGCAAAAGGATGGTTCAAGGACCCATTACCCCTTACTGATGTGAAAACAGTAAAGACCCTTGTGGCACCTTAAGGATGAACACATTTGTCACGGCAAGAGTTTTTGTGGACTAAAATTCATTTCATCAGGTGCCAGAAATGCTACCCTGAGCTTCAAGGGGCTGGGAGGGGAGGTTGCCAGCTGTGTGCCCATGTGGCTACACCAAAAGAAATAGCCAAACTGTTTGTCAGGTATACGACTCAAAATGTCTGTCTGGTGGTGAGCAACACCACACCCCAGAATCCAGAATTGAGCCGAGCAGAAGTTGTGGTGGGCGTCTACTGCTAATAATTTGTAGTTGCGTTGCTCTATCCTAATAATAATAATAATAATAATAATAATAATAATAATAATACTTATTCTCTTTTGCCACCTGGATCCGTTTTCCATAATAACTAATTACTTGAACCGTATAAGCAAACAAGCAAGCAAGGCAAGACAAAACAAAACATGTTTGTGCCTATGCCCTTCTTGTGATAAGCTGTGGTTAATTTGGAAAGATGCAGGAAAGGGAGGCGTTTCAAGACTGGCATCTAGAACCCCACTAAACATTATTGCTTTTGTTAGAATGAATAACCTGAAAGCTATCAGTGGACAGTCCAGGCTGCTTTACAGAATATTAGATGACCCAGAATCCTTCAGCTCTGATGCTGGATTGGCTTATATTGCTTATGAACCCACGATGAAGGATTTGCACTCTGTGCATGCTCTATGTTGGTCCTTACTTTGCACAACGCATTCTAGGGCTGTGCCATAGCTTTGAAAACAGGTTCCAGAACTAACCCCTGACTTTGTGTCTGGTTCAGTCTTGTATTTCCAACATTCATACTTCTGCCTGCCAAAGCAATGTGTAGCCTAGGTTCTTTCTCAGTGAAATGATGGGATTTCAGGATGTAGGCTCATTTGGGACAAACCAAACACAGAGAGCTGCCACAACATCTTTGATGCACCAATAAAAAATGTCTCTCTTTGGCATTTGGCTGGCCAGCCAGCTGGCAAAAGAGCATATGAGCATCTTGCTATGATTTGGTAACAGAAGTAAGTGAAACTAGCAAGACTCCCGATTGTCACCGATAGGCTGAACTCCTGTATCCATTTACCCAAGAGAAAGTCCCATTGAGCTCAGTGGCCTCCCGAGCAGGTGTGGCTACCATTGTTCAGGGCACACCAGCACAGCTGGTTAAACTAGTTAACAGCAGTAATTCCCTCTTGGGAGGAGGCCTGGGAAATCCAGTTATTTGCAGGAGGGGTTGGAGGAGCAGGGAGTGATTAAGATGCTGGAGGACAGAGCTGGGGCTCATACAACCCACCCTATGCCCCCTAAGCTAGGTACTACACTGTCTTCCTCTGCAGGGGAGGATGCCGTCCCATTCACACTCTTGAAGTAAGATTCAGCTCCTCATCTGCTTTGCCTCAGGCAGCACGCCCAGCACTGGCACCAAACAACAGTTCCCCGAAAGCTCATGGGCAGCCATACACAATGTAAAAATGCCCCATGGCCCATGACAGCATGCTGCAGAGACAGGGCCCAGTGGTGTTCTCCTGGTGCAAGTAGTGTAGAGTTTGGCGAAGGCCCTTTCAGCCAGGAGAGCAGCACAGCTCTGGCTGAGAGAGGAAGGAGTGTGGGAGTCCTCCTTCTTTCTCAATGGGCCATTTGTTGGCCCTTCCAGCTGCTTGTTCGTCATTTATCTCCCCCACTTTTCTGGGACAGAGAGACTCATTGGGACAGGCAGACAAATCACACACAGCCATTCACATAGGAGCCTTCTTGTCCTCCGCTCTTTCCAAAAGGATGGTACTAAGCATTCCCTACTCTAGCTGCTGGGGCGGGGGGAGATGATTGAATTGTGAATCTGCAAGAGAGAGAGAGAGAGAGAGGAAGGCTGGCTACATAGCAAGCACTAGATACAGAGTGTACATGTGGATTTTGGACCTTATTCCAACACAGATTCCTAGTTTTGAAGTAGCTGTTTTGTTCATTGATTTTGCAGTTGTGCAGGAAGCAACAATTAACAAGCTTCCCACTTAGGCTTGAGACAGATGATATGTTTTGTGTGTGTATGGTTGATGCTGTTGAAAGAGAGCATGTGTGTGTGAGAGAGAGAGCACTAAAGCTGATTTGAAAGAGGGGCTGTTGCTTTGCGGCCAGTGTACTCCTTGCCCTCCATTTCAACAGATTTTGCAGGACTTTTGCATTGTTTCAAAAACCTGCTGCACCTGCTTGAACTGGGGTGATAGTGAGGGTGTTCGTTTGTTTTGAAGGGAGGGAGGGAGATTCTTGTACACAACACTGGAAGCAACACCTCCTTTGGACCAACCTCTCAAATACTATAGCATGTCATCATCTTGAGCTGTTACTTCTCTACTCAGTCTGGTTAGCTTATGTCTGCTTCTAGTTGGTTTACATCTGCTTCTCTGTCCAGCTTCTGATGTTGGAAACTGCCATGATTTTGCCAAATCCTGTAGACACAGGGAGTTGGGGATAGAGTAAAGGAGCACAAGGTGAAAACTGCTCAGGATAGACTTAGGCACAGGTGTTTGCTATGCTCAGCTTGGGGACAAAAGTGCACAGAAATCCTGGACCTCACTCAGCAAGGCCTGGATCGTTGCATGTTTAAAGAAGTGAAGCCTCATGCATCGCCCTCCAATGGGCCATCCTACGCTCTTCCACCACCTGAAGCAAGAGGCAACTTGTCCTGCCGATGTGTGCCATTTCTCTTGCCTCGGCTCTTCCTCACCATAACGCACCCTGAGCAAGCTCCCACAGGGACTCGTGGCCCTGCTCCTTCCAGATGTGCAGCTCTCTGGGAGCAGCAAACACCTGGAGGCTGCTCTGATCAGCCCTGCCAGCTGCCTGGTTGCCGAGACAATCCCAAATTGATTGGGCCGTCTGGGGCGCACACTGGAAGCGCGGGCGATGGGCCTTCTTGGGTTAAGCAACGGGAGAGAGACAGTATAATTTGCCCCTCCTCTGTCTGGGACTTTTTCTGATTAAAAATGCATCAAGTTTCATTCTACATGCATCTGCTTCATTTATAGGATTTGTTATTGCACACTAAGTAGTCAGTTAGGGCGTCCAATACTAAAGCAAGCACCAGCCTGCCCTCTTTTCTCCATGGACTTGGAGTGTGTTGCGCAGATGGATGGAAAAAGTGTTAATTCCTACCCTCAATAACATTGGTCATCTGCCTCTTATGGTTTCCTTGGAAGATATGACTCCTTCTCCTCCTCCTCCTCCTCGTCCTCCTCCTCCTCCCAAAATAGGGATGAAATCAAGACTTCAGGAAACTTCAAGGACCAGTGATGACTGGGCAGGCCCTGCTTTCAGAACAGGCCCCATCTGTAAAGCTACTCTAACCAACATCAAAAATGGCACCATTTGCATGCATGCATCTGTGTGGATCATGCCCATCAAAGTGTCGCAATTCCAGTGATGTTCAGCTCAGCTGCTGGAATGCAGTGTTCTGTCAGTTCATAAATAAATATTCATAAATAAAGTTTTACAGATGTTAACATGTACATATTTGGTCCTAGGAGCAAGGTTGATGTGCTCTTCAATATAGTTCTGTTACAGTATGCTGATCTTTTAAAATGCGAATATCACCTGCAGGGGCAGGGGTGGTAGTGACAATTGGCAAGATCAAAACATATATGGAAGAGTATTTAAATGCTTTCCTCTTGCACAGCTGTCCTTTTTCCCTGCCCTTGTAGGACAGGGATAGCCCATGGCTTCTAACTGAACATCAAAGTCATGAAATAAGCCAAAACTTCTGATTTTTGGAAAAGTGAGTCATGCAAAAATTAAACAAATGGAGGAGGATGCCGACAGTGCCCT